AAAAGGCAACTTTCAAATTACTCAAAGTACAGTTCTTCTCATAATGCTTCAGTTCTTCTTCAAAAAAATATTCATCTTCGGTTCTGCATCCAAATAATAATACCATATTTCCTTAAAATAATTAGATAGTTCCGTTAATTGTTTTTTTGTGATCAAACCAGTAAAATCACAATACCTATTTATAATATATATTTCTATACTTTTATAAATAATTATAGATTGAAATTGGATTAGGAAATGGATGATGCTTCATTATTTTAATTACTTCAATTTTCATATTTTTATCAAATCTCATTTAATTACATAATTCATTGATATCTTGGCTAATAAGTAAAATATTAATATTACTCTGAGTTCAATGGATAAATGGCTATATTACTTGCAGTCACATAGTTAATATTATCAGCAACAAGGTCCATAAATAGAGTTGAGTTCCCAGTGTTGGTTTCTTCTTTAGTTCTCTAATTTCATTTATAGTGAAGGTAATGCTAGATTTATATTTTTATGCCTAATACAAATTTTCAAGATTTACATTTTTAGGTTCATTTGTGTATTTGATCTTTTAAATTGATGATTCAAACTTTTTCGAATCACATTTCTATGCAGGATATGTTTTAATAAGGGTTTCTTCCACTCCTGTACTTATCCAAGTTTGATAATCATTTTCAGTTGTATTTTCGGCTGCATTTCCTTTTCCTAAAGCAAAGAACTTATTCGCTCCAAGTTCCTCCAATCTTTTGTCTAGTTTAATCCCAAATTACCAATAATTTTCATGATTAGTATTCCCAAGGGCGAATACTATGTAAGACATGTTCTTGGATTTATCATTTTTTCTCTCTTTTGAAAAATCCAAGAATTAAACTTCTAAGCACCTGAGGAGCTAGATCCAACTCCATAAGTGGAGACAAAAAAAACACAGCCAACTTCTAAGAACTTATTTAATCAGGTTCAAATTCACTTAGCTTTATTGACGCGATCTATGATGCTCCATGAGGTAATAATTTATTCTGATGGTCGGGAATTGAACCAATTCCTACTTGTGGAGGTAAGACTACTGTAAAAAGGGGCAAGAATTAGACACATGAAAGCTCTTTAAAACCCCATAGAAGATTTACAAAAGATCCTTCTAAAGCTGATCAGAAGACTGAGGTAATTTAGTAAAGTTTAAGCAAAAATGTGGATAAAGTTTATGATAATATTCAGAGAGATAAAGAATACTAAACATTATTTCTCATTTGGGTTTAAACAAGAAGAAAGCACCATTCCAGTCTTCGACAAGATAAGGTTATCTTAATCTAGAATCATACTTTATAAACCACAATAATGTCAAGAAAGAGGAACAAGACATATTAATTGTTAAAGCTAAAGAGTTATTATCTAAACCTGTTAAGAGAAAGCACATCAGATCAGAATCCCAATTAGTCCAAAAGATCCCAGAATAATATGATATGCTCAAATAATATGCTGACGAAAACAGTGGCTATGATCATATTCAGCTCAGTTTAGTGAAGTTATAAGAACAATACTAGGTCATTTCATGAAGTTAAGAACAACTTAAGAATGTCTAAAACCTGTTATCCTGAACCTATTACAGTTCCATAACAAAAGATTTAGATATAAAACATGTTCAAAAAAAAATTTAGTCAGCACACAATCGGATAAAAAATTAATGATTTCTTATACAAAACAAGAGAATCCTTTAAAGATTTCTAAGCTTATATTTCGCATTATTAAAATCTCAAATAGCATCATCGATTATATAAGTAAAGAACTGCAACCTACTTTTAACAATGATTTTCAAATCAAGATTTTAATACTTTTTGATATCTTCATATTTACATTTTTTGATCAAATTTAACAGAAGGATCAAACATATTTAGAAAAGTAATATAAGATATTAATATTTTTATTATTATTAAAATTTTATTGTTAAATCAATCTTGAATATAACTTATATAAAATAAAGAAGTTGAAAAAATATCGTAAGGATATTTATATAAAATTGTAGAAAATAATATATTGAAAAATTAATTATATATTATTTTCACATCATCTGAATCTTTCTAAGTGAAAATGCATTTAGAAAAAGGATATGATAAATTTAATATTTTATCATATCTCATATAGTAAAAAAAAAATTCAGTTACCATTTACTCCGAGTTGTAAAATTCTGTTTTATTTTGCTTTACATAAGCCTAATAAAATTGAACCAAGCTTATTTGAAAACAGCTTTGAAAAGAAATTGATATAATAATTCTTTTTATAAATAATTAAATTTCTAGAATATTTTATGCACTTTTTTTTCTTGCTAAAATAATATAGTTTGCATTATATCATATCACAAAAGAATCCAATTAGAGCAGTAAAATTATTTCCGTATTTTATGATTTAAATTATCTCTCTCTATTTTTTTGTTTTCATCAGTATTTTCAAGTTTTCTTGCCCAAAAATATTCCAATATTGCGTGGAAGTATTTCTTATGTAATTGAGCGTCAAGGCCCATCATTTATTTTATATCTAGCAAAAGCAATAATAATTTTATTTATTTATCTTAAATTAATCAAATAATTCAATGAAATAGAAACTTATTCGATTACTTCAACAATACTAAATTTTCTATTGATGATTTGACTAAGAATAGCAACTATAAGAAAAACAGGAATAGAATAGCGTTATGGATGTTCAAAAATATTAGAAGTATTAATTGATAATTGATTACTATTTTGGAATCATGATAGAACTGCTAAAATAGCACATCCTAAAAAACGCTTACGCTATTTCTAATCAATAATGTGCTTGCTATTATATTTAATTGACTTTATGTTTCATTGCTAGATATATAAAAGTATTCTATTTCTTGATATAGTGGAATTCTGCCTTTACATAGATTGCGAATTATAATATAAAATGTATGCATATTTATATGTATTCCTAAAAATTAGTTCTTAATTATCACTCTACCTTGAAGCTCCTTGAATTTCTGTATAATAATCCAGAGACTGCTTAGTATAAGCTGCAAGGAATAAGATCAATCTAATCGAATTCGTCAGTATAACAAGTCTACTAATTATAATTTATTTATCCTCCAAATTTACTTCCTAATATAACTAAGTCACAACAAAGTTCCTAAAAAAAAAGTAGTCGATTACTGTTAACTATCTTCCCATCCTACCTATTCTATGACAAATCTAATTGTTAACAACCAATCACACCCGATAATTATTCATATCAAGCATCTACATAACTTATAGATTACTTAAGAAATAATTCCGATAACCAATTTCATAGTTTTAATCCACAATAATTTGATGCTAATCCTAAATAAAACCTTTCATTCTTATTTTATATCCGAAAAGGAAAAGTCTAAATACTTAACACACTTATAACCAGTAACTATTTGAGGAATACTTAATACTATGCTTTAAGCATACAATCTCCAGAATGATCTATACAGTAAATTCATAATATCATATGATTGCTCAACATTATACTATTGCGATAGTACTTGAGCATATATTTCTAATAGTCATTTTTATGTCATTATTTATCCTCACAATTTGTTGAAATCTATTTTATGAAATACCCATTTTTATTGCATCTTCTCTGATTCAGAATTTGAATCGTAATACATATATTTAAAATTAATTTAATCCTAGATGTAAGATTGAATCCATATCTAAATTCTTTTTCCTGCTTGAATACTGAATTAAAAATAAGGGCAGCTCTTTATTTATGTTAGTCGTAATTCTTTAACCTATTTGATACTATGTACAATAAAATAAGGGTTTTCATGTTAGTATCTTTCATACAATTAATTGATGTGGAGTGTATATAAAATTAGTTAAATTGTTGATACTTATTTAATAAATTGAGGATATGGTTATATATAAATTGTTTTAGAAATAAATTAATTAAATAATGGGAGCAACTTGTTGTAAATCAAATTTGCAAACTCAAGATGGTATTAACAATTATCGATTTGATTTATAGAACTTTCAGTTCAATCAGCAGCTTTTGGAGATAATGACTAAGGATCTTAAAAGAGGGTTGTTAAGCAAACAACTGCTAGCAAACGTTAAGCATATATTCCAGCATAAACTTTCGGTTTGGGATTGAAATAAAACCTATCTGATGATGGAAAGGAAGTGTATGAGGAGCCAAAGAAAGTTTCAATGAAAGTATCAAAGGAATTGGAATAATTATTGGAGCGATAGAATTCTGACACTGATCGAAAGAAAATTCTTGAATAGTAATCTTTATAAAGTATGATATGTCATAAGTTAACTTAGAAATGGATCAAAAGTTGCACATCAATGTTGATATTTTTGTTCAATTGAAGAAAGGTCAAATCTCAGATCATTACATTACTGGTAAGGTATTGGGAGAAGGTGCCTTTGGAAAAGTGTGGAAAGTGACACACAAAAAGACTAAATTGGATCGTGCCATGAAATAATTAAAGAAGACATCTATATTGAAGGAAGACAAAGAAAAATTATTCTCGGAAATGAATATACTGAAGAATTTGGACCATCCACACATTGTAAAATTGTATGAATTATTCGAAGATGACAAGAATTACTATCTGGTAACCGAGTAAGTACTAAATTCATTGAGGATAGGTATTGTTCTGGGGGAGAACTATTTGATCGAATCAAGAGCTTGAACTTCTATAGTGAAAAGAAGGCTGCAGAACTAATGAGACAAATACTCAGTGCTGTTTGGTATTGTCACAACCAGAAGATCGTACACCGAGATCTAAAACCAGAGAACCTACTCTTCGTCTCCGATTCCCCTGATGCTGATCTTAAAGTAATCGACTTTGGAACTTCTAGAAAATTTGAAACTGGAAAGAGAATGACAAAAAGATTAGGCACTCCCTATTACATTGCACCTGAAGTCCTGTTGGAAAATTACAATGAAAAATGCGATGTTTGGTCCTGTGGCATCATTCTGTACATTTTATTATGTGGGTATCCTCCTTTTTCTGGTCGAAGTGAATCTGAGATTCTCAAGAGAGTTAAGGCAGCTCAATTAAAATTTGACCATGAAGATTGGGCTCACATTAGTTAGGATGCTCAAAATCTAATCAAGAATATGCTCAATCCAAACCCAGCTAAACGTCTAAGTGCTGAAGAAGCTTACAATGACAAATGGATTTAGAATAATGCACCTTCTAATGTCATTAATTAAAAAGCATTGCAAAATCTATAGTAATTTCATGCCAAAAGCAAATTCAAATAGGCGGTTCTGACTTTTATGGCTACTCAGATCATTACTCAACAAGAATAGGATGAATTAAACAAAACTTTTAAAGCCATCGATAAAAATGGAGATGGCAAATTGTCAAGATAAGAGTTAATTGATGGGTATACTCAAGTTACTAATAATTAAGAATTAGCAATCATCTAGGTTGATCATATTATGGAGTTGGTTGATATCAATCGTTCAGGGGAGGTTGATTTCACTGGTAATGCTATTTCTCTATTTTTAGAATTTTTGATTGCTGCTATGAATTAAGAAAAGTTTCTGTCAGTTCAAAAAATGGAATAGGCATTCAAAGTTATTGATTTGGATGGTGATAATTATATTTCCAAAGCAGAATTACAAAATGTTATGGGTGATATTGATGATGAGGTATTTAAGTGTAATTTAACCAGATTTGGATACAAATTTTAAAGGAATGCGATAATGATAATGATGGCAAAATTTCATTAGAAGAATTCTCATCTTTGCTCCAATCTAAAGTTTTATGATTTCATAGAGATTGCTTCATAATTATTTTTATATTATTATTATTATTATTGTTGTGAAATGCACTTTCATTTTCTTTTTCTTGGCTCAGGCACAGTTGGATTCAAATCTGCAAGTTTTTGTTTTATAAAAATATTTCTTAATTAATTTGCATCCTCATAAGGTCCAGATCTCTCAGGGCATTCCAAAAAAAACCAAAGAATCTTTATTTTAATATCATTTATGCATACATTCTCAACTTTGCATACTCTCTTTGGTAGATCATCTTTCACACTCTTCTCCTTCAAACATGAGACGAAGTTTTTTTCTAACCAATTGCATTCATTACTAAAATCTTAGCTTATTTATTATACACATCATTAAGTGGTGGGCGATATTTGACTTCCATTATATTTATATTAATATTAATTAAATTCAATTCATATCACTATCCTAAGGTTTACTATTAATATCAGTCATAAACCTATAACTTAATAAATTAAAGAGATTAAATATAAAGGATAATCAAATGAGGCAACGATTAATCACATAGAAATAGTATTACTAATAATTATTTATTGTTTAACAAAATTATTTCGGATTAAAATGGATTAAGGAGTAAATAAGTTAATTATTGTATTATTCACCTATTTTAATAAGATAATTAAATGCAATCCATTTAAAGCTCTAATTAATTGATGCTCTATTTTTTGAAATGATAATTGTATATAAGAAAACCTTAATCTTATTCTAATATTTTTATTATAAATGTACCAATAATATTTTGATGATTATTGTGAGAGATTATTTTCCTACAATTTCCTGAATTGGCCATACAGAGACTCAAAGCTTAAGCCTTCGAAAATGGCTTCGATAGGATATATTTGTCATGAAGACTCTCTATAATGCTTTTATTGTTAAAAGAAAATAATGATTGATGACTAGATGCTCCCTAGTGATGTCATTTTAGAGAGGGCTATCAATTAACACGATCAATACTGTCAAGCTATGGCAATTAAGTTTAAAGTCACATAAGAGTTTTTACATTCGTATGGAATGGCATATTATGATGAATGTCTTGCATCTTGGAAAGACCCGATCGAATTGAAAAAGACTTATTTGGATAAGGTACCTCAAAATCTACACTTTTTGGTATAAAATCCAAAATAAGTCTTGGCAATATTTGGTTGGATAAAATAGGACCAAATTTTATTGTGCAAATTTTGTGGGAGGAAATGTTAAATAGTAGAAGAGGAATTTGATGTATTTTAGGAACATAGATATTTTTGTAAATGGGCAAATGAAGGGAGAAATATCAAATACGGCTATTTGATTGTTTTACAATAATTAAGAGATCAAAGTACTCAGAACAATTAAGATGCAAAAGAAAGAGAAAATAATAATGTTGAACAAGATGTCTTGAGAAAAACACTTGTTTCATAATGCGAGAACATCATATCTATAAATCTATTAACCAACACAGAACTGTAAAAGGCTAAGGCATAGATATTAGCATGTTAAGATCAACTGACAAAACGAAAAAGATTTGATATTAAAGAATCAGAGCGGGAAATGGAAGAATTTGAATTGGACATATAGAAGAAAGTAAAAGTGCAAAAAGAACAAATTGAAGAAAGAAATAAAGAAAGAATGAGCATGATCAATAAACAAGATTCAGACGAAGAAGAAGAAGAATAAGAAGTAGACATGGCCTTAAAAGAACAATAAAATCAGAATAATCATGTTTAAGAGAATAAAGAAAATACAAACAATTAATAATAACATAATTAAGCTGTAATTGGAGCAGATCAAAAAATTGAATAAGAGGACAATTAGAAATAGGAAACTAATAGAGAATAGAAGGAAAACTCAGAAAATTTAAATCAAGTGAAGGATAATTAGGTAATTGAGAAGAGAGAAAAGCTAATCACTAATCATATTCAAGAAGAACCAATATAATAGTAGTAAATGATTGTTTAAAATCAAGAAGAGCAAATAGAATAGTAAATTATTGCTTAAAATAATAAGTCAAAATAGACTTCTCCTTAATTGCCTACTTAGTTAATGGTTGAGCAACATGCTGATTAATATTCAAGTGAAAGAGGAGAACAAATTAATCAAGTTGTTCCTTAAGATAAGGAAATTGAGAAAGGATAAGTAGAATAATCAGAAGAAATCATTGAATAGCAAGAGAAGGGAGAAAATAATCTAATTAATAATAACAATTTAGAATAATAACAAAATTAAAATAATGATTCCTAACAACATAATAATACAGTGACAAGTTAAAAGGATAATTAACAAGAAGCAGAGGAAAAATAACAAAACCAATAATTGGTTTAAGATTAAGTTGAGCAGAATGAGAAATCAAACGTTATTGAATAGGATCAATAGGCTCAAATTTAAAGCTAAGAAATAGAAATTGAACAAGAAAAGAAGGAATCAAATCCTAATGTTGAAGTTTAGGAAGTGAATACAGGCAATGAATAACATCAAGAATAAGAGATTAAAGAAGTTGAAATTTAAAATATTGTGATTTCTGATGATAAAACTCAAAACTAAATACTAAATGAATAATAGAAGGTTGATAAAATAGAAAGAGAATTGGAATCTAAGTAATAAAATCAGGAAGAGAATATTTAATAAGAAGTTGAAGAAGATTAAGAGAAGAATTTAGAGAGTCCTAAAAATATAATGAGAACTTCATTCTAAAATGATGATAGCAATATAAGAAATTAGGACGATAATAAAATTATGACGATTATTAATTTAGAGGATCAAATTAAATCTAGGTAATAGGAAAATTAAGAAATTGAATAGGAATAAGAATAAGAAGAACAAGAACAAGAACAAGAACAAGATAATCCAAATGTTATTGAAGTGTAAGACAACGAGAATCCTGATAAAGATTGAATATAAAAGATGTGATCACTCATTTTAATATATAAATGTTTAAATTTTAGATATATATTTTCCATCTCCAGTATCTTTCACTAAGGAATTAATAGTTGTATCATAATAGTATTATCTATAAATACCTACTTAGATTTCTTTCTTTTTTACTTTATAGATTGTTAATACGCATTTTTAAGTCTAATCTAATGCTATTGTTTTTTTAAAAAAATAATGCTAATAATTAATCCAAATTCTTAACTAATATATATTGATGAACAAAAATTTCGCGGTTAACTTAAATATAAAAATAATTTTAAAAAGCGCTATTTTTTAGTTCGAATGGAACAGGATGAAGATGCAGGAGCGATTTTTGATCAATAAAATATCTAATGGATTTATGAGGAGCAATAAAAAATGGAAGCAAGATTTAAGGAAAGTGGCTGGTAATTGTTTTCTCGATCCCAGCCAAAAGTCAATTCTTCAAAACCTATTCAGTTTATGCAACTAGAATGTGATTATTATACTCTAGGGGGATAGAGTATAATAAGAATGTTTGGTGTCACAGCTGAAGGGAATTCCATACTATGTCACGTTTTTAATTTTTTATCATTCTTCTATATGCAAGCACCTTAGGAATTGTTGTTGGAGCCTTAACACATCCAATAATTTTAAAAGGAATTGAATATTTTATTAGCAAAGCAAAAAACCTTTGGTGGCAAAGAACCAATAGTAAAGATAGAAGTGTGTCAGAAAGAGTCGATAAGATACTACAAGGGAGATAACAAAAAATACAATTATTTAAAAATATACGTAGTCCAACCAATTTTTGTTGCATAAATAAGAAACTTCTTAAAAAGTGATAATAGAATGGTGTGTGATATGGAGCTACCACAATTAACTTTTGAATCAAACATACCATATGCATTAAGATTTATGATTGAATATGATATAGTAGGTATGGGTTGGATAGAATTGAAGGATTACGCGATAAGAGACAATAAAAACAAAATATCATCTTGCTAGATAGAAGTCAATATAGATTGTTAACACGTAAAGGCCATTCCTTTGGATGAGAAATCAGAGATTGCTCCCTTGCGAATTTTATCATTTGATATAGAGTGTGCAGCTGAGAAGGGATTTCCAAATGAGGAACATGATCCCATAATCTAGATTGCTTGTATTGTAAAAGTGCACAATCGAAATGAAGAGCTAATCAGAGTTGTATTCACACTGGGTGATTGCGAGAAGATTCCAGGAGCTTGGGTTAAGTCTTTTTAGAAAGAGCAAGATTTGTTAAATGAATTTTAAGTGTTCTTTTAGGGTTTAGACCCTGATATTATAATTGGTTATAATATTTAGAATTTTGATATACCTTACATATTGAATAGAGCCCAAAATTTGAAGCTGAAGAATTATGGTAAATTTGGTAGAATTCCAACAGCCTAATCAACAATTAAGAATGGTAAATTCTTAAGTAAGGCTATGGGAATGAGAGAAACAAAAGACATTAATATAGAAGGGAGAATACAATTGGATATGATGATTCACATGATGAAAGAACATAAACTATCTTCATTTTCATTGAATAATGTTAGTTTTTAATTCTTAAAATAATAAAAAGAAGATGTGCATTATTCAATTATTTATACTCTTTAAAATAGTAATTATTTTCATTTTATAATCCTTTAGAAAATCCAGAGACAAGAAAAAGGATAGCAGTATATTGTCTAAAAGATGCTGAATTGCCAATATTATTGATGGATAAGTTATGTTGTCTTTATAATTATGCAGAAATGGCAAGAGTCACCGGTGTACCAGTCAATTATTTATTTATGAGAGGTTAGCAGATAAAGGTGGCATCTTAGTTATTGAGAAAAGCCAAACATTATGATTTCATAATCCCAACTGAACAATTCAAGTCTACAGACTAGGAGTATTAAGGAGCATTCGTATTGGATCCAGTGAAGAACTTTTACAAGGTTCCAATTGCCACTCTTGACTTTGCCTCTTTGTATCCTAGTATCATGATGGCTCATAACATGTGTTACAGTACATTGTTGAATACATCTCCTTTTAAGGTAGGCTTAGTTGATGAACAAGTTACAGTGTCTCCAGAAACTAATGCTGTATTTGTTAAACCAAATGTTAGAAAAGGAATGCTTCCATTGATTCTTGAGGATCTCATTAATGCAAGAAAGAAAGCAAAGAATCAATTAGCTTAAGAGACTGATCCTTTTAAAAAGGCAGTGTTAGATGGTAGACAACTGGCCTTGAAAATATCAGCTAATTCAGTTTATGGATTCACTGGCGCTTAAGTTGGTTAATTGCCCTGTTTAGAAATATCAGCATCAATTACCAGTTTTGGTCGACAAATGATTCAATTTACAAGAGATACAGTTCTTGAACATTATAGTAAGAAAAATGGAGCTGAATTCGATGCAGAAGTTATCTATGGAGATACTGATTCTGTCATGGTCAAATTTGGTGATTATTCAGTTGAAAAAGCTATGGCTTTGGGGAGAGAAGCTGCAGCTTTGATCTCAAAAAAATTCATTTAGCCTATAAAGCTTGAATTTGAAAAGGTCTATTATCCATATCTACTTATGAATAGAAAGAGATATGCTGGATAATTATGGACTAAACCTGATAAACCTGATAAAATTGATACTAAAGGTATTGAGAGTGTCAGGAGAGATAATTGTTTTCTTATTAGAAAAATGGTTACAGAGATCTTGAACTTCCTTCTTATTAAACAAGATGAAAAATCGGCTGTTTAGTATACAAAAGAATAGATCAGAAATTTGTATCTAAATAAAGTTGATATCTCTGAATTGGTTATCACAAAATCCCTTAACAGTAAAAAGGAAGATAAAGATAAGGATAACAATAAAGAAAAAAAGAAAAATCAAAATGAAGATGATGGAAACAAATTAACTAAAAATTATAAACAAAAATAAGCACATGTTGTTGTTGCTGAAAAAATGCAGAATAGAGATGCATCCAATGCTCCATCAGCTGGTGATAGAATTGCCTACATCATCATTTAAGGGGCTAAAGGATCTAAGACATATGAAAATGCAGAGGATCCTGTAGAAGTCTTGGAAAAAGATTTCCCTATTGATTTTGATTACTATGTCAATAATCAAATCAAAAAACCTATCATGAGACTATTTGAATTTGTTATACCTAATCCAGAGAGCATCTTTGTCGGTGATCATACCATGTCAAGATATATACCAAAGGTTAATATCAATTCTGCTTTGGGAAAATTTGTGTAGAAAAAAACAGCCTGTTTGGGTTGCAAAAAAGTAATCAAAGATAATGAAGCCCTTTGCAATTTTTGTTAGGATAAGACATTAGAAATGATGACTAAATCATCGATTGTAATTTTATTATTAATTTCTAGAAACTGTAAGAACTGTAAATCAATTATCACAAATACTGGACAACCTGTTAGAGTTGTTAAGGATCCTTATTAGGAGATATCTTATGTAGTAATCGAGATTGCGAAATTTACTATAAAAGAATCAAGGTTCAACGTGATCTTAAGGAATAATGGGATGAAATTGATAAATTATATGCTTAACAATAATGAACTCCAAATTTTCATATCTTATATTAACTATATATTTAAGAATTTATTCATTCTTTTTTCTTATTTTTGTATACGTATAAGTAGTATGTTAATTTAATGTCTCTATGATAACTACTCATATTGTTATATTAAAAAGTCATGGAAAACACACTACTTAAATATATTAAATTGTTTTGATAAATGGGAACTATTTAATCATTATCTTTTATTTATTTATTAAATTAAATCAATAATAAATTAAGGTAGTCAATTCATAATTTTGCGAATATATCCTCAAGCATTCTCTCTTAAGTTGAAACCTCCAAAGATTTGATTGCTAGTATTTAGTACATTTATTTTTTCGACTATTACTTCTCCTTTGTCATTTTCAATATCTAATTCTTCACACCCACATCGCATATCCAACCTTGTAATACTATATTTAAATCATATATATCTGCTAATTATAAATGTTATAGGAGGAAGAATGCGCTTTCCTCAGTAATTTTACTACCATTCATTCCAAGACCTGTTAAGTCCAAATGAAGTTTCTCTAAATCTAAAGTGAATATCTTTTCAATCAAGTACTAGAGATCTTCATTATAAAATAATTCTAAGGATTTGTTATAATCATTTCCCCAACTAATATTATAATTAATAACGAAAAGTACTCTGCCAAATTCAAAGTTAAATTTTTTAAATTCTCCAACTTTTCAATGAAATCACCCATAGCCACAAATGAATGTCCTGTAATGTTTTGATTTCTATATCCTAATCTTGAAATCTTGTCAATCATACTTGTTAAGATTTAGCTCCAATTCCTAAATTTATTGTGGAAGGCTCTTAAATAATTGAACTACCCCAATGTTTGATATCTTGCAACCTTTGTGTCCCCACTATTAAAGATTTAGCCTGAGGATCTTTAGATTTGTAAAGGCCTTTCCCAAATGAATGAAAGCAATGTCAGAGATGTTATAATTTTGATTTCCCCAATTACTTAAGGAGAGTTCCAATAAGTTAGTAGGTGCTAAATTGGCGAAATATTAGAAACATTAATCAGTTATCAAGGTGCAAGATCTTGGCCTTGACATTATTATATTTTTTACTAAAACAAGTCTAAATTGATTTAAATATCATCCAAGTTTTAGATGGCTTAGCAAAGTCTTCTGACTCTTTCATCAGTCCAGAAATACTCAATATTCATTATTACATGAGATGTTATATTAAGGTTAGCTAACCTTTCATCGTCGATATTATATAAATTCATAATGATATAAAATAATAAATGAAATAATGGTTGTTCGCAATTTCTAATAAAATCTCTTCTTAATTTATGATCAATTCTTACTCTTGTTCAAATAAACAATCTAGTTTTTTTACTTCAATTTTGGATAACTCATATTTTAACTACAATATTCGAGTATTGTATATTAAACAGAATGGCTGATTGTTTCTCTGTTTATCAAATTCACATAGATATCATTATAATGAATATTCATAGGATTAGCAATAAATAAATAAATAGATTTAAAACATTTTATTTGATAGATCAAATACCATGAACTTTTATGTTATCTTATAACGCTATTCCTTCTTCCACTAAAAATTTGGCAATTTGCTATCTATTGTCTCCGGTCAATCTAATTGTTACTTAATCTCCATAATCTTCATCTTTTGAAATAATACCACCAGTACAATTAAATTACTATAACTAGGAATTACATTTACTTTCTTCCAAAATCTAATAATTTTATTTAAATCGAATTCATCTGGAATGCCAACAATAATTGTTTGTGTTTTTCTAGCACTTCTCTTTTTCAAATGAATATCTATTATCAATTATCATTCTTACGAATCACAAAGTTGAAGTTAACCATTTCGTCGAATTCATTTTAATTATCAAATTGGTTGTCAGTCATTCAATATAAATTTAAACTAATTTATTTATTAAACAATAAATTAATAATTATTCATATAGAAATAGATATAACTTTCACAATTACCCATTTTCCCACCTCCTTGCAAACAAGATGGGATCATTAAATTATTTAAGATTATCACTGATCACATCTTGAATTATCAATAGATCCTTTGAATTCAATTGTTTATTCACATGTTCTAAGTTCTAATAGAGTTATTTCGAAAATCCCTTTGTAAACTATTCTAAATCATTATTGAAGTATTGATTAAATTTTCTATCCTGATTGGTATAAAACACTGGAACTACCTTTAGATAATATTGTTCGAAGCTTTCAATCCATTGAGACAGAGTCTCTTGAAAATTGAGAGGACAAAACTTTTTAATAGCATTGGCCTTCAAAGCCAACAATTTCCTTAATAAAAAAAAGCACTTTTATTTCTCCTCTGTATTAATCTAATCAAAATTTTTAAGAACTTGATTTAAGAACACCAAAAACTTGTAAGTGGGTAATATTGTAGCAGATAAAGATTCGCCATTTTAATTCAATGTTGGTTTCTCTTTAATTTTCATCTTCTTTTCAGAATCCTGGAACTTACTAACTGAAGTCGAGGTTCTTACTTTTTATTATGAGATAGTATTATTCTTATTTAAAGGCCTATTAGTATTGCTATTAGTATTTTAATCTAATAAATTTTAAAAAGACGAAGCAGTCTTAAGTTATCTCTTTGGAGACTCTATCAATTTTTTTTTCTTAGAGGTATAACAAATCGGTGATAGTTTATTATCTCTTGTATCTATTAAGGCATTTTCAATATTAGCGAAGAGAGTATTAACAATGGCACATTCATTCTAAACTTAACGATTGGAAGAGTAAGAGTTTTTAACTGTTTCATTTGTACTACTAGATTTTGCGTTTTATTATAAATCACTATTTTCTGAAATCTATTTAGGCTTTTCTAATTTTTGTATGTAATTTGATTACACAATTGGAATTTGAATTTAAACTTTTCGTTTTGAAGAAGTTGTATTTTCTTTTATTTTAATATCAGTTTATTGTTATGAACAAAAACCCTTAGCTAACTCTTTGATTTCTTGATCATGCAATTCTATTTTATGCTATATTTGATAATGTCTACACGAATTAGGTTCAATCTATTATTCAATCTCTTCATTTGGTAATGTTTTCAAAGGCTTCGAGACTTACTTTGGGTTGTAATCTTCATGAGCACTTGATCTCCTTAAAATCTTGCATACTATATTCTGATGTGAAGCGCATTGCAATTTCTTTTAACTTTATAATTGAGATAGTATCTAATCTATGGAGAGTCTTTTTAGTGGATCGATCTCCAACATTCCAATCAGAATATATTAGATTTTTTTAGGCAGGTTTCTTTCATTTCTAATTTTTGCATACACCTCCTACTGTCTATTCCTTGTATCTTCTTCTTTTTTTTAATTAAATGGCAATTCTTTAAATAACATCAAGTAAAGAACTACTCCTAACGACCATATGTCAGATTTTTCAGAATACTGATTTAACTGAACAGTTTCTGGCGCCATATAAACTGGAGTTCCTACATGAAACTTCTTAATTATGCTCTCGAAATCATTTTCTACAATCGCAAATCCAAAATCTGACAATTTATATATGCCATTCAATCTTAAAATGTTTGCAGGCTTTATATCTCTATGTATTATTTCTAAGTTATATAGGAATGCAGTTACTTTGATCATGAAGGGCCTTCACTCCTCTCGATATTTGAGTAAATATGTCAACAATTTCTTTTATTGTTAAGTTAGTTGATCTTAAAATATTGGCTAAATCACCATCACTACAGAATTCGCATATGATATAGGTGTTGTTTCTTGTTTGAAAGGCCTCATACACTTTCATAAGATTCTCATGGTTTAATTACTTGATTATGCTTATCTCATTTTTTAGCAAACTCTATGAAATCGGAGTAACTAAGGTTTAAAGGTTTATAACCTTTATCGCTACAACCTATCCTGTATCGTTATGAATCCCCTTATACACCTTCGAAGAATAGCCCTCTCCTAAGATATCATTTAGAAGGTATGAATATTTATAAACAGACTTTTGTATTTGCTATTTAGCTTCAATCATTTTTAATGATTAAATTTAAACTTAAAAAAATTATTTTGATGTTAGAGTTTTAAGAACAGGTAATCAAAAACACTCTAAAGTTGTTGGTACTTTATTACACCTAAATTATAGAATTTAGATTTTCATAATTCTATTTTAATAGCAAATTTCATGCATTCTTTAAGAAAATTAATTTTACTTAAATTAATTTGTTTATTTTTTTAAATAGAATCTTCTAAATTTATTAACATAACTATAATAAAGATATTAAAATATATCAAATTTTTTTCTTTCCACCAGATTTTTAAGGCTGCTCCGTCTTTTTATTCGATTTAGCTTTCGCTTTGCTATTATTTGGATGAATTATTTTTGTGGTTTTACCAAAGAAATTTTCCAGCCTACTCTAAAAACCTGTGTGATCTTTTTTAGCTATTCTTTTTAATCCATTATCTATCCTTGACTCTGCAAATCCTTTTTCCTCTATGAGAAACTTCTTAAGATTATCCACATCAGGCTTATTCCAAATTAACTTGAATAACAATATATTTTTACTTATATTTCATCTCCCTTTTATACTAATGGAGTAATGAACAACTCTCGACTATCTTAATACAAAAATTTTGAAGGCACTGTATATTTCGGATTTAACTTATTTTTTTCTCTTTCTGCATTTACTTTTTAAACATGCTCTAAAATTCCCTCAATGCTTTTATGTTCTTTAATAAGCTTATATGCTGTTCCAGGTCCGATACCTTCGATTTTTTCAGTATAATCACATCCGCACTAAAATGAATAAAATTTCAGCTTTACTAAAATGCATAGATCTACAAATTATTCATAAGTCAACTCTAATTCTTTGATCATATCATCATAAATGATTTCATAAATGGGTTCCTTTTTTGTATTAAAGCCTCTCAATAAAACTGGAGTTCTGAAAGTCAAAGCATCCATATCCTCCGTTGCTGTAGCGTATATTTTTCCTGCTCTACACAATTCTGCACATTATGCTTCTGCTTCACATGGGGCTATTATAACAGGACATCCCATTAATTTGAGCATTTTTATTGCATCTTCTTTCATAATACTAGATATTGTCGTTGTTCTCTGATGCTGAAGCAATGCCTATTGCATATCACCCTATTCAAGAGCCAATTCAGTTTTAACTTAAGCCTCCTCTTTTAATTTCTTTCTTCTTGCCAATTCACCACTTTTTAATAAAGGAGGTTTTCCATCAAACACCCAAACAGGTTTGATTCCATTCTCAAGAAATTGCAATGTTCTATTAAATAACCCAACGAGATGTCCAGTTCTATTACCATCCTTATCTGTCAACTCTATAATTTGTGTTTATCCTGCAGATTGTGTTTAAATTAAAAACTAATACATAGCCATAGATGCATCACAACCGATAGTTCTATAAGTAAATGATTGTTATTACCTGCCAGCAAAGTAGTCAAGCATCAAAGTCCTAAAACAATTAGGTGCCTTTTCTTTCAGAAATTGCATAAGCTGATGAATTCCCATATTAATTAATCAATTAATTAATCAAGCGCCAAAGTTAAATACGATTATATATATATATTTTTGGAATGATCATCATTTTTATGTGTCAACAAAGACATAATTTTTATTTAATTTTTCAATATCCTTCTCCAATTAGGCTAACTCCTTTTCACATTGTTCTTTCCTAATAGGGATTATAGATTAATGATTACTTTCTCTTCAATCCAACAGTATCAATCATCCTAATATGTGTAATTGATTAATATTCTTTATTAACTGATTCCCATTTCTTTTTTAATCCCTTTTTTAATTGTTCGACTTCCTCTTGAGTCATCAAATATTTTTGTTTGTCCATTTCTTCAGCCTCACTTATGTGCATGTTTCTAATAATTTCATATTCACTTGAAATGCTTTGTTGTATTTTTGTAAGATAGTCAGGTACCTTACCGTAGTCCTTTTTCTCAGTCCAAGGTTTATCATCTACTATTTGCTTTGGAGCACTTAGAATATTTTCAACTGCATTCGTCACTATGTAATTTTTATTAGATTTAAGGCCATGAATAGGCTTTTCATCTTTTTTAGGCACTGGAGGTCTGACTGAAGGAGGATATTTGTATTGTTTGACTATTTTATAATTACAATACAATACCTTCAGGCAGCTGGTTTGATCCCATTGTTCCAGTATTTTTCAATCTGAACATAGTAGAATCAGGTTTGTATGATCCTATAAAAATTGAATGTTAAACTACCTTTAGGTCTACCGAGAGAATTCGATTATCCCTTGTGAGTGTGTGGTCCCCTAACTAAATCAAATTCTCCATTGATATTATTAACCTGAATAAATAATACAACTACTTTAGGTCGACTAGTTGTATGGTTATTGAATGTGCTGCCAGTTGGTGTCAATCCACTTGGGTATGCCGATCTATACATCGGTTCTTTAGGAGGAGGTACATATTCCTTAGGAATCAAGTTATATATGCTTTCCTGTTACATAATAATTATAATATATTTAATAATAAATACCATATATTATTTTAATCATTAAAGATTTACCTCTAATTTTCTAAACAACACGATTATATTAATCAATATTATCCATTTTCTCGGAGTATGTGGGCATCTATTTCACTAGGCTTATGGTTTCTATCAATCAATTTTACAATTCTAAATCTTTATAATTAATTTTTAATAAGATGCATCAATAGAATATATTATAAAGATAGGAAGAAATCGGATAGGTAATTTCCCCATTTAAATTTCCTTCTCATTATTTATTTATGCTTATTTAAGGCCATCAAAATTAAATTTTTTGCTCCTTTGAACGACATCTTTTCATTAAACAATCTTCTACAATAAATTTAACGCTTCAGGGCTTTAAAAATAATCTTAAATTTCTTATGGATTAAAACAATAGTTTAAGACTCTGGATTTTCCTTCTAAAAGAATATTATATCCCAACTATCAATTGATTATCTATAGTCTATTATAATCTAATATATTCTAAGCAATACAGAGTTTTCGATCTACTACAACTCTCCTTAAATATTAAATGTAAACTATATTTTCAATTAATCCTAAGCAATCATTCAATAAATTAACTTTCTCTTAGTTTTCTCTTAAAAAAAATTGTTAGAATTGGTAAAAGCATTCAAAATTTGAATGAAATCATTCATAATAGACCAATTATTAAAATATAATAACTACTAGATAAATTTGGTGATAAGATTATGTATTTTTATGAACTCTGAATCTATGAACTTTTAAGGCTGATAAGGAATTTATCTTTCTCAAATCATTAGTAGGATTTTCTAATTGAAATGTAATTTCCTTAATCAAATATCTGCTATTCTATTCACTCGACTACATATCCTATTATTAATCATTTCCCTTTTGTCTTGATGGTATTATATTTTGATACACTTCTTAGGGTCAATAATTATATTATTTATTAAAAGATTGAAGCAAAAATAATATTCTCGACTCAGAATACCTCCTCAACAGATCATTAATTCTGTAATACAGAACATCATATTTGGCTATAATATCATCATAAAAATTAAATAAATCATTGTGAAGTTCTATTTAATACAGCATATTGAATTTATTATAAATTATGGTATTAGCAGATCACATTTATTCTGGTCTACATTTCCATAACCAATATAAGTTAGGATAAAAATATTGAGTATTTTTGATAGAGATTATTAAATCAGTTTTATATATATAAATAAAATATTATGGGCTCGTGTAATTAATGCGTATAGAAGCAAGAGTTACAGAAATCAGGAAGAAATTAGTATCTCGTAGTTAGTTAATCGCCATACAATCATCAAATGGCAATCAGAATTCAATCGGCATATAGATCATTTATAACTCGATAAAAATTCAAGTAAATTAAGATATTGTATTCGAAGTTAAAAATTAGCAGAAAGGAGAGCAAGGAATTAGATAATATGCAGCTCAACATAAGATTTCCTAATTGAGTATCATACCAGCTCTTATTCTCCAAAAATTAATTAGTTTGATAGTTCAAATGTATTTTCTAGCATTCAAAACAATCAAAAACATTCAGCACTCTCAATATTCAATCGTCAATAAAGTTTTAAATTACAACCCAAAGAATCCGATTCATTCGATTTTGAAGAATTGGACTAATATGACTAAACTCCATAAAACAAACTCATTTCATCTCCTAATAAAAGTCTAAGATCTCTTTTAAATTAGAAAGAGAAAATAAACTCATTTAAATTTCGTTGTGTTTTGACTTTAGAAATACTGGAGACAAATGATAAAATTAAATTATAATAAAAAAATAAGAGATAAAAGTATGATACTATCAAATTGGTTGGTGGTAATACCTACAATGGGGAATGGTTAGATTCCCTACCAGATGGCAAAGGTAAGTACACATTTTCAGATACTTCCTATTATTCAGGGGATTTTGTGAAGGGTCAATTCCATGGTAAAGGGGAGTTTAAAAGTAAGGAAGGCACCTTCTATCGGGGATAATGGAAGTTAAATCAAATGCATGGAGAAGGTGTTTACAACTATAATAATGGCTGCAAATATGAAGGTACTTACACAATTAATTAACATAAAAGGCAGTTGGGAAAAGGATCTCCCCAATGGATAAGGTATAGAATGGTATGCTAATGGTTCTGTTTATGTTGGTACTTTCTTAAATAGGGAGAAACATGGCAAAGGAAAAATAACCTTTAATGCTGGCGAGATCTACGAAGGGGAATTTCAATTTGACAACTTCAATGGATAAGGAACATATGTAAATAAAGATATTTAAATTTTAATTAGAAATGGCAAGATGGCAGAGTCTATCAAGGGGAGTGGGCCAATGGTAGAATGAATGGGAAGGGACTACTGAATTGGCCTGATGGTCGTTTCTATAAGGGATAATATTTGAATGATCAAAAACATGGCTTTGGAATATTTTCTTATTCTGATGGTCGTAAATATGTTGGTCAATGGAAGAATGGACTCTAACATGGTAAAGGAGAGTTTCATAAGGGGGATGAGTCATAAAAGATTACCAAAGGAATTTGGAAGCGAGGGCAATTAGTTAAATTGCTCTGATCTTAACTGCTATAATTTTATTTTTTTTCTTTTTTTATATAAATGAGTAGCGATTTACTTATTCAATAATCTCAAGTTTTTTACTTGTTAAGAGAAGGCCTATGGAAATCAACGTAGGTGTTGTGTCATAAGGTAATTTAAGATCAATATACCTAGTTTTATCAAAGGACTCAAGATCCCTTCTTTCAATTTTGGAGGGCGTTCTGCTATTTCAAAAGTGGAAGTTTGAATGAAGCAATCAATGAGTTAACACTTATTAGAAATAAAAGGGAATTTCAATTTGCAACTTCAGCAGCACTCATCTACTATTCATAGCAATAGCGTGGTGTTGACAGGGTATAGGAGAAATTTTAATTCTATAGGAAATAATTGAAACTTGCAGACAGATGTAGAGTGAAGGTAGAAAGACTCCGAATGATCGAGCATTTTAGAGTGCCATTTATTTCTATTTATTCGTAGACGAAGGTAGAAAGGCAAAGGAAAGTTTGGAATTATTATCAGAAGGACAACCAATAAGTTAAATCACTTTGGGGTGGTATAGATTGTTACAGAAGGAAGAGTAAATAAGCCCTGATATAATCCTCGATTACTTTTAGAGTATTGGTGGTATTTAAGTTGATATTATCATTAGGGTAATTCAATTAAAAGCCCATTGAATATTTGCTCGGTTTGGCCAAGGCTTCAGAAATTAATAGGAAGTACCCTATCACCTTAGACGCTTTAAATGAATTATTGATAGTTTGGAGAGACTTTCCATACACAGATGTAGAGAAGTTGCGATTTTGTATATTCATTTAAGATTGGGAATAATTTTAGGATCTGGCTAATAAAATACTCTATGATGATCCAACCAATATATTCGGATTGAAGGCTATAGCCTTTTATAATTTGGCAAGGAAAGGTGATGTTAGAGAATCAGTAGAGAAAATTGAAGAATTATTTAATGCAATCTAAAAACAAGAGGAAGACAACGTTTCGTTGGTTTTGAATTGTTGTTAATTGCTATCCAGAGTTTCAGGGAGAAATCAATAAATTCTCTAATTGACTATGAGTTAAATCTAGAAGACTCGAAAGATTGCCCCATTATTAGGCGATTTGTGTTTAGAATTAGCTTAAGAAACTTTGATGTTGGAAGAATACGAGAAGGCATATGGTTTTTTCTAAGAAGCTGCTGCTTTAGATGAAGGTAGAATGGAATCCTTGGCAGGAATGATTTAATGCAAAATATTATAGGGAGTCATTGATGATGCCGAAAAATAATTGGAATTTGTGTAGGAAGTCTAAGTATCTGTTGGTAGAACCACTGAAATTGCTTTTTTGTAAGCCTTACTAGAAAGCAAGAAGTCAGAAGGGACTGACTCTCCTATAGCTTAGCAATTTATTGAAGAAACACTTAAACTTCATCTAACTTAGAGTAAGTTGTTGCTGCCTGGATATGAATTTTACATAAAGTTTAATCCAGATTTCACATTTACGATAGCATAGATGTATCTAAGAAATCTATCCACCAACCTAATGTTAGCAGGTAAGGAATTACCAACTTCAGGTATTGGAAAAGGAACCAAATTATTAGAAAGTATTTCAAGATATGCTCCAGGATTAACAAATGTTTAGTTATTGTTATCTACTGGTAAAATGGCTTTAGGGGATCCACAAGAAGCATTGAAAACTATTAATAGAGTCTTAGAGTTGGATCCTAAGAATGAGGATGGATACATATTACATGCATTGATTTCTATTAAAACTAAATAGATCAACTTAGCAGCAAACTCCTTAAATTAAGCCATATCTAATAATTTTGCCATCAGAGAAAATCCCCTATTCATGTTAGTTAAGGGAGAGGTTGAGTATAGAACTGAAGATTACAAGAATGCCTAAATTACACTAGAAGCTGCTTATGAATTAGTTGCAGGAAAATATAAGAATAAAAATAAAGTGAAATCAAAAATTGTGTAATTTACTGAAAAAGATAAATGCCAAGTTTTTGTTTTGTTAGCTAAAGTCTATGCAATTAATAAGAAAGAAACTGAAGCCAAAAAGATTATGCAAAAGGCTATCTAGGAGTATGCAGGTAGTCCTCATGAAAGCACAATTATGATGGCTAATAGTGAAATAGCCATAGAGAGTGGAGACATAAAGAAGGCAATCAATATTCTTAAGGCTGTTTAAAGTGGATAACCAAATTTCGTTAATTCAAGAATTATCTTGGCTGATGTCTACTTAAAGTATTTGAAGGATCGAAGAAATTATACAAGGTGTTATGCTGAAATCATTGAAGCAGAACCTACAGCAGAAAATTATAAGTTGATTGGAGAAGCATTTATGAAAATTAATGAACCTCAAGAAGCTGTTTTAAGTTATTAAAAGGCAGCTGAATTGAATCCAGAAGATGAAGAAATAACAAGGATTATTGGTAATGCACTTACAATGACATATGATTATCAGAAAGCAGTTAATTATTATGAGGCAGCTTTGTAGAAGACTCCAGGAAGACAAGATTTATTAGTTGATTTAGGGAGATTGTATTTGAGGATGAATAATATCAAAAAAGCTGAATAAGTATTGATTTGGGAGAAGTTTGTAAGTGATGATTATGCTGCACCAACATTGACAACTTTGAGAGCAAATGCTTAAGGTTTTCTTTTGATAGCAAGGATGGTTACTAAATTACAATAAGCCACTTTTAATTAAGCATAAAATGCTGAAAAAGAGAAGATCTAATAGCAATTGATGGCTGAATCTCAAAAGTTAATAGAAAAAATAAGAAAGGCATTTGAATTTGCAGTATAAACATAAAAAGATGTTATTGAAAAAAGCAAATAAGAAGCAGCTAACGTAAATAAGGAAAAGGAACAATTGGGATTAATATTTTTAGAGTAAGCCAGGTACTTCTTTTATAATGAGAGAAATTACAAGGCAACTTTAGATTGTATAGATGATGGTATTAAATTCTTACCTACAAATGAGAGTTTGATTTAGTTATAGGCTGAAACATTCTATCAAAGTGGTGACAAGATTTCATGCGAATAAAAATTAAAGATATTATAAAAATTGAATCCTAAAAATGATTATGCTTCCATGATGTTATCAGAATTAGTATTATAATAGGATGATAGTGAAAAATCAATTTAATAATTTGTTCAAACTTTATAAGAGAAACCAAATTCATTTGGGACCCTCTCTAAGGTAATCGATTGGTATAGAAAATAAAATAGATTGGATGAAGTCTAAATCATCATTGATAATTGTGCTAAGGCTACATTAAACTAAAATGAACCAGGATTATGTTTTTGCAGAGGGTTGTATTATAAATATAAGAATTTACCTAAAGAGGCACTGATATAGTTTAATTATGCAAAGAAACATTAGTAATATGCTGAAGACAGCTTGACTTATATGATCGACTTGTATTTGAATCCTGATTAAGATCTTTATTATTCAATCACAGATGAATAGCCAAAACCAGTTGCAGTAGAAAATCTAAAGGCTTGTGATTAATTGCTTAAGGAACTATAAAATAGAGGAAGTATGTCAAGGTAATTATAATTCTTATTATTTTTAGATATCTAGTTATGTAGGCATATGTACTTTAATTGTCAGGTATTCAAAAATCTATTGAAATGGCTAGCACTATTTTGGCACAGATATTAAAGAGCAATAAAGAATGGGTTCCAGCTATGTTGAGTTTGGCCATCAATAAATTCTTAAGCAAAAAACAAACTGAAGGTAAAACTATTTTGAAATTGCTTTGGGCAAAGCAGGCTGATACAAGTGGTTGGGAGAGAGATGAATTAGAAAGGGCTTGGTTGTTACATGCAGATGCATTTATATCTATTCAAAAATATGATTAAGCTGAAGAAATATTAAGAAAATGCTTGAAATAAAATAAATGCTGTGCCAAAGCAGAAGAATTAATGGGTTTGATAAAGGAAAAGGAGTAATCTTATATTGATGCCTCTAATTCATATGAGAAAGCATTCAAGTTGACAAATCAAAGGAATCCTATTATGGGTTACAGATTGGCATTCAATTATTTAAAAGCAAAAGTACAAATTAAGCATATAAACCTAGCGTTTCGTTGATGCAATCAATATTTGCAAATTGATTCTACAAATTAACCCAGCATTCCCTAAATTACAATCTGAAATCCTGAACAAAGCAATTCAAGCCTTAAAGTCTTGAAAAAATTAAATAGTATTATAATCAATTTAAGTTATTATAAATTACAATATACTCAAATCATTATATCTTTTTGCCTATTATACAAGTCTGAAATCTCTTGACCTTAAATGATTAGATTAATATGTTTTTAATGGAAATCAGTAATAGAAAAACACAAATATTCAAAAATGTCCTTATTTTAAGAGAATACGTTATAAATTAATTTAATAATACAATAGAAATTGATAAACTGAATGATTTTACTCATAAAAACAATTCTTCTTCTCTTTTTATCAAATTGCTTGTTAAATCAATAAGATTTAAGACTTTATTTACATTGTCCCCCCACTCTTATAATACATCATTTTCGTTCTTCTTTAACTAGTAATCAACTATTCCTTAGATTCTATCAATTTTGCATTTAAGCAACTTTTAAGTTTTAATTAAATAGTACTTTCTAATCCATCATTATGCATATTTCTTCCTCCAATTCCTCGGTACTAATGCCAATTAACTCTGTTATTCTATTAAGATAGACAGAATCATAATAGATTTAGAATATTCTTAAATTATGGTGAATTAATTATCTTCTAAAGTCTAATTGAATTACACTCAATAATTACCTTTGTATCTTTATTGGTTATTCTCTAAGCCCTCATCAAAAATCTCAGCGGCTTGGATATTATGAGTTTATGGTTCAGTGCTAATTAATTCAGTTCCCAAAAATGCTTAAATTAATTGTTATAGGTTAGGCAATGTTTCAAGGCCATATTTATATGTTGTTGCAATGGTCTACAATTATTTTTACTAGTTGATATAGTTAAAATGGTAATACTTTTTCTTCAGAATATTGGCTCAATATTGTATATAGAGCATAATTTTCTAAGACAGTGTTATAATCAATTTTGAAATTGAAATCAACCTTTGTGGCTTCTAATTATCTGTTTTTATGCAATGATTCCAATATTTTAGAATAGGCATGAGCTGTTTCCTGATAGTTGTTTTCGTGTCTATAATAAATGACTAGGAATGAATAATAGATGATTTTGAGATCTGCAATATTGTCATCTTCAATATTTTTAGGTTCAATTTTCTTGGAGATTATGAATAGTCTAACATAATCTAATTTCTTAATCATAATTTTCATTTGATATAGGATGAATTCCAATTTTTCCCTTTTGTCCATAGATCCATAGGTTTCCACCTAGACTTCCTACAATATTTTAGCAGCATCAGCAATTTGATTATCATCTTCTTTGTATTGAGTGAGCATCAATACACAACGAGCATATTCAACTTCTAAGTAGATCTTCTTTTCACATACTTTCATAATGGCATCTATCATTTCCAATTTCTAATTAATAGGAAGTGTCTTTAATTCAATCATGGCCATTTGAACAAGTTCAATTTATGCTTTTTTTGGTTATCCTCTCTTTTTACTAAGTGATACGATCAATTCATTAAATTTAGAGTATTATTTAGTGTCAAAACACAATCTAGCAATTTGTTTGGTCACTTTAAGTGTTTCAACTAAATTATTGGCTAGACGAGCTGTCTTCTCTTTGTTTAGGAGATCGTCAATTTGTTTATCGAACTCATTCTCTTCAATGATCATTTGGATTTAAATTTAATTTAATGAATACCAATCTGAATTATTTTAATAATGATTTATGAAGGCAAATAGTCTATTTTCAGCCATCAAGATTAGTATGCTCTAATTCGAATGGTGAACTCCGAAGATGACACAACCACTAAGAAACATGAGGAGGGTAAGACTACATTCACATTAAGAATGGCAAAGTACTTGTCAACATCTGGGATTGGAGATTATTTGGATGGAATAAACGTACTCTTGAGCTTCCTCTTAACAGTTTTACATCTGATTGATTGTTCTTTTTGGGATCAAGGAGGAAACTAAGATGTTGGCGAGGGATAAGCGATAATTACAGTAATTTCAATCAAATTAAAAGTTCTTAGATTCCAGAGTTGATCTGTTATATCTATTTCCTTCTTGATTTCGTAATCAATTTCTATCTGTCAGAAAATAAACTGTTCTTTACATTTTAAACTACATCATTAATTGAATACGTTTCAATATTTCCATCATTGCTTGCTAGATTAAATATTATCACTGGATACAAATATATCTACATGTTGAGAGTGCTACGTTTCTTGTTGTGTTACAAATTGGATAAGGTACTACAGAGACTGTCGATGGAAGGTATTTAATTGGTTTAATTTAGAGTATTTAGGTTGGCATACAAACCAATTGTAACTGTCATGTCAATAATAATGATAAATTCTTCAGTACTTTACGTAGTTGAACAAGATTACTCAATAGTTGAATACATATATTTTATGGTTGTGACGATTTCAACAGTCGGATTTGGTGATGTCTATCCAACGACAATCTACGGAAGATTTTCGATTATTGTTGCAATCTTGATCATGTTTTTGGTATTGCCAACCCAAGTTGAAATGCTGACCCGAGTCTACAGTTTACGAAGTTAGTACGCAAGGAACAAGTACATTTCAAAGAAGGAATCAGAACACCTTCTTTTGCTTGGATCATCTTAAGTTGAAGGATTTAAAACATTTTTAAATGAGCTTTATCATACTGATCATGGGATGAATGATATCAATACTGTAATACTCTAGCCTTCAGCACCTACTGAAGAGATGACTCTCCAATTGAAATAGCCAGCTCTATAAGAAAAAGTAATATATTTAGAGGGACATCCATTGTAAAATAAGGATCTAGAAAGATGTAGTTCAAAGGATTGCAGTTGTGTCATTGTTTTAGCGAATAAAACAAGTAGAACACCTAAGAGAGATGATTATCGTAATATCATTCATGCATTTGCTGTGAAACAATTTGCAAAGAAACAGAAATCCAGAAAAGGGGCTCGAGTGTGTTTGCAAGTACTGCAACCTTCTAGCAAAGATCTATATTTTAATTCACTTGGGGGTCATGAAACTGATTAAGTCATTTGCGTTGATGAACTTAAACTTTATCTGCTAGGGAAAACGTGTTTATGTCCTGGAATAAATACACTTATTTCATTTCTGATTTAATCATCCAAACCCTCTTATGATATTACAAAGTATGACAAAAACAAGAGTGAATGGATAGATGACTATTTATGTGGAATGTAAAATGAAATCTATAGAGTACCATTAGAGTCTCTCGCATTTGTTGGCCTGACATTTAGTTAAGTAATTTATGATTTTTAATAACTTAGATTTCTTCAGCCATATATAAGGAGCTGAACATTATTCTATTTGCTCTTGAAGTAGAATTAGAATCAGGCACCAGTGTGTTTGTAAACCCAGTTGAATACCTATTTGAGGATTACTTGCATTACGGTTACGTGATAGCCAATGAAATGCCCAATATTGAGGAGATTCAATAGATCAAATTCCCTGAGTACATTCAAAGAAATTACTGCTTTCCCAATTAACAGAGACAATAAACCAACAAGAATGCCCTCCAGTAAGAAGCTGAATACTTGAAGGAAATATTGAGTGAAGGTCTCAAAGATGATTCTTCTAAACACCCTGCCTATTATTAAGTCAAGCCTTAAACTATAACTACTGGACTCCCTAAAGTAGGGGACCAAGAGAAATTCGAAAATCACTTCATTGTATGTGGAGTTGTCACTGATATGAAATACCTTATGATGCCTCTCCGAGCCAGATCTCTAAAAAATATTTAACCAATTGTTATACTGAATTAGGATCTGATCCCCACCGAAATACAACTTTAAATTAACAAATTCCCTAAAGTGTATTTCCAATAAGGATCTCCTCTTAATACTGAGGATTTGAAAAAGGCCTGCATTCAAAAGGCTTCGGCTTTGGTTATCCTACAAAAGTCTGCTGATTAGGAGGAGGGGTTATCGAATATCGTTGATGCCGATACAATCTTCATATATAAGACAGTGAAGTTATTAAACTAAAACATAAACATAATAACTGAGTTGGCTTCCATTTCAACTATTTCTTTCTTATAGATCTCGAGGAACAATTATGTTCAGAAATACGATTGGTCAGTGAGTGAGCCATTTGCCTCAGGAGAAATTTACATTTCCACCATGCTTGATACATTAATTTGCCAAGCCTTTTACAACCCTTTTATCACTAGCATTTTTGATTAGATGATCTTAGGAAGTGCTTCAGTTAACAAATAGGTAATCAGATCATCAATATCATTTCCAGCATAAAAAACTCTACTAAGCCAATAAATTACAGCAAAGCAACCTATTTCTAATTAACATCCCTCCAAAGTATTAAGAGAAGACCTTTGGAGAGCTGTTTGAAATTTTACTTACTGAGTAAAAGATGATTCCCATCGGACTCTACAGAGGAGAGAAGGTTAAAAACAACAATAAGCCTTATGTGTTTCTTAAACCCCCCATGGATGTAGTTGTATCAAGCAAGGATAGATTGTATGTCTTGAGTGGCAAACAGCCCAAAGAACAAGAGAACATAGTTGAAGACGAAAACAATTTTGGATAAACAGCAGCATCTTAATAATACAATATCAAGTCTAAACTATAGGGAGAGGAGGGCAGAGTTGATATTGAGTTTTCAAGAGAACTAATGAAATTTAAGGAGAAAACGCAGAGCTTTGTGAACTAGTTGAGTAAGATAAACAATAGAGTCTTTAATTAAGGATTGATTCATGATTGTATTCTAAAATATGTATTTAGAATTTGTTAAAAATGTACGAGATTTATTAAAAGAAGAATTAGCCAACCTAAATCCAACAACTTGATATGTTATGATAATCACTAATATAAATATATATATATATATATAAAAGTATTTAAATCATTTTTAAACTTTTGTTAAAATAGAATACATGGCATTTATGTGACATAGTGTCTATTTCTACAAACTTTTGATTATGAACTCTCTTGAATAGCCAAATTACTCAATCTAAGAAATAACTCTCAAATCTAAATTGGAGTTCTACACCTAGACTTTATTCGATTTCAAGTTTAACTCTTTAAGCCAAGGATGATTCAGGATCTCGGTTAAGGTTATTCTTAATTTCGGATTCACATTCAGTATTGATTTTATAAGATCTAATAAAGTATTAAATTAAGAATTACCAACGGCATCATTGGATAAATTATATTTCTTCATCTCCATAAAATTAAGAAGACCATTTTAAATATTGTGATTTAATTCATTCATATTATTTCCTTTAAATGGCACTTTTCCAACTAGTAAGATATAAAGCAAGACTCCTGAACTCCAAATATCACTTGCGAATCCTTCGTAGCCTGTCTTGTTGGAGATCACTTCTGGTGCCAAATAAGCAGGAGTCCCGCATTATTCCAATATCTTCTATCCCTTTATAATCTGTCTACTCACTCCAAAATCACAGATCTTTATTGAGTCTCCCTAAAGCAGTATATTATCTAATTTGATATCTCTATGTAATATGTTATGACTTTGAAGTATCTACAAGGCCAATATCAGTTGACCAAATAGATTTTTGGCTTACCCCTCAGGGATAGGCTTCTCCTTTGTCCACTTCATCAAATCTCCTCCTTCCACGTACTCCATTATAATGTAAATCTGCTTTTTTGTTTCGAAGACTTCAAAAAGAGAGGCAAACTATTGGTATTGGGAGAGTATTTTCATCAAAGTAATTTCCTAAAAATAGATATATATATAAGTAATTACTAGTAACAATCTTTTTTTAGCACTTTCTGTTTTGAGTGTTGATTTTTCAATTATCTTCATGGCCACCTTTGCTCCTGTTAATATTTGGATACCCAAGCATACCTTTGCAAATGCTCCTTTGCCTATCACATAGCAGAGCTACCTTACTAAGGTTAGAGATGCGATACCTTATAAAAATCTGGTGTTGTGATTGGAATGCGTTTCTTTGTCTTGGTGGTGTATGCAATTCTGTTGGCAAGAATTATTCTTTCCTTCATTATATCTTCAGTAGTTGGAAACTGAATCTCAGGCAATTGTAGCATGAAATCTTGGCAATCCAATAGTTCAGTTTCCATTCTCCCAAAATCAGGCAGCAATTTTGGGAAGCTCTCTTCTTTGCTAATTTGACTGTTTGATCGTGATTTTTAAGTTGTTTGTTAACTTCTGGATGTCGCTTTGTTTCCGAGGTCAATTTTCACTTTTCCCAATTTGGACACAGGTTTTGAATTGGACATAGAGACAGACTCTGAATTCTTTGTAGGTACTGGCAACCTAATGATTGATTTTACTATTCTACTTAATGGCTGGATATAATTTGCTTACGGATCTCGAACGGTCTGTTGAATTCTTGGAAACTTAATTTGAGATACTCCTGGTTCGAGTGTTTGTAGATTAAGTGTTAAAATTGATGCATTTGACAGAGATATGTTTTTTCAGTTGATTCATTTTATAACAGATAAATTTTAATTATTCTAAATTGAGCAACTCATACAATCCCAAATAACACCAACAAAAAATAAAGAACCATAATTTGATATTAACACGTTCTTCATTGCTGTTTAAAGATTGATGTATATGAATTAGTATTAAATGTGCATACTATGGTAAGTATAAAATTATATTATGAAAAATAAAAAATCACATGTCTAAGAATTCTTGTAAGGACAGTCTTCCATCTTTGTCTTTATCATAGGCATTTATAAGAAGCATTGCCTCATGATGAGTGTATCTAAGTCCGCTTTCATAAAGATATTATTGTAACTAAATTGAATATAAAATTGCATACATCTGATACTCCAATAAAATTATCTCTTGTGATACTGTCAATTTTTGTGAACAACTGAATGTCAGCATTTAATTTCACTGGAATTTATTACAGTAGAGTTAGTAATTCAATCAATAATTTTATTGTTTAATTGCTAAATAGCTAACTGATCTTCTTTTGATTGCCACCAATGCTTGGTTATCTCGTATTGAGTATTTCTGCAAAATTAACAGAGTAGGGTTAAAGCAGATTTAAAAAGTCATGATAAGTTAATTAGTTACTGTTGAATCTACTAAAAATATGAACACTCTAGCCAGATTTCTAATTAAGTAGAGTATCAATTTCCTCTACTCCTATAGATCCTTTGCCATAAACATCCAAGGCATGAAACGCATCCAATGTATTAAATTCTTTTTACAAGGCTAGTTATTGTTTAACCTTTTCTATTTTAATTTCTTTGTCTAACAGATACTCTATAATTTCATATGGTGATTTTGGTTTTATTTTTGATAAATTATTGACATTCTTTTTATTTGTTTATGCTTCTTTAATCATTTTCTTCTCGGTTTCACCTTCTTATTTCTTTTAAGCTATTTTCCCTCTAATTTCTTGTTTCTAGGTTTCATAACTTGCTACTTTTTTGGTTGATTTTTATTTTTCCATTAAATTCCTCTTTTTTGGAGATACATTCGTAACTTTAGGTGTTTTCTTTGTCGATCCCTTCCTCTCTGTTGTTTTAATAGCATTTTATATCTAAACTTTCTTTTTAGGAGTTGCAAATGTGGAAGATGATTCTTTTTCATTTTTCGATTTAATTTATTAATTTAGGATAAGTACCCAATTTTTTAACAATAATAAATCAATTTAACCATCTCCATAAAAGTCTAATCTCTTAATTATGGCATCTATCTCATCTTAGTAAACAAACAATCTTTCCTTTTTAAATAAACATTCAATATCCTCTCTAGTTCCATTGGCTAATTCATCTAATGATTTGGGAGGCAGTAAATTATTCATTAGGACTATTTCTAAGCTAATATGTTTTGCAATTTCCTTTAAGCATTCGTTTGATTATTAGGTTTTTTAATCCGAATGTGAAATGTAATCTCTTAACAGTTGATTTGTTGGAAGTAGAAATCTGAGGAAGTCTACGTATTTAAATTCTGGTTTGTAAAATAATATGCCGCATTCCTTAAGAGTGTGCAATTAACCAAATCGATGTAGAAAGACCTGCATTGTCTAAGCTGTAATATAACCCTAAATTGTTATTATTATAATACTTCATCATGTAGGTCAATTTGTTTAAAAGCCTAATAAGGATGAAAGGAAGGGAATTTTGTTAAAAATTGCCTACTTATTTCAATGGTTCTTTCAATTTTAGCACATTCCATTAGAAAATCCAATAATTCCATTAAAACAGACAAAATTAATATTAGAGACAATCAAAACCAAAGTAAACTCAATTAAATTCAAATAGACACTTTAAATTATGATATATCACATTAAATCAGAAGCTTAATGGATTAGGAGACTAAGCAAGTAAACCTACGCAATGGAGATGATAATTTTAACATAAAATATATTCATAAAAATTTGATTTATAAAGAAATGAAAAGAAACAACAGTTCTTTTGGATAATAAGAAACTGTTTACAACCTTTCAAAACCCAATTCAATGCAAGAAATCAATTGTAAAACATTATAACTAAATAAGCATCGGTCTGCATAAGCTAGAGTTATTAATAAAACAGTTCATTAAATTAGTTATATGCAAATAGATTCTTGGGCGAATGGAACGAAGATTTGTATACAGTAACAAGAAAATATGTTCCAACTTACACTAATGGTTTGAATTTATATACTACCTATTGCACTCCGTAGAATCCAATTGCCACTATTGTGATCATCCATGGATACGGCGATCATTCAGGAAGATACTTTCATGTATTATAATTGAAAGATGAAATTAGGTGGCGGATGAATATGCTAAATCAGGCTTCTAAGTTATTCTTTATGACTAGAGAGGATTTGGAAATTCTGGAGGCATTAGAAGTCATGGCCACATTAAATAGATGCACCAAGATCTTGAATGCATATTATTGACTATAGAAAGATCCTAGCCAATCTTTTTGCAGTGTTAATCATTAGGAGCAGCAGTTGGCTTAAGCTTTTGCATTTCGAATCCCTCATTGATCCTATAAGGAGTCATCGTTGTTAATCCTTATCTACAATTTGCTTAGAAGTATGGACTTCTTAAAAAGACACTGCTAACATTAATGAATAAGATCATTCCTGTAAAATACTTATAAATCATAGGGATTAATGGTCAATTCCTACATTGATTTTGGTCATTGTAGCAAGAACAACAATGTAATCAAAACTGTAGCTGAAGATAGTCTAGTCTAACCATTTATGAGTGTTGGAATGGCTTATAATATATTGCAATTAGAATAATACATCCTACCTAATGTATCATAGTAAGAATCTTGATTAATAAATTTTAGATTTGCTTAACCTCTATTAATTTTACATGGCAAAGAAGATAAAGTGGCAAGTCATATGAATTCGGTCGAACTTTATAGACTGGCTGGTTCAAAAGATAAAACTTTAAAGTTGTTTGATAAAGGATTTCATGAGTTACAAAATGATGTTGAGTTTGAGAGAGTCAAAAATATTATAACCACGTGGTGTTAGAAATAGGTCAATAAGGATAAAAGAATAAGTATTCTTTATACATCATTTATGCTAAGGTTACTTTAGAGAGTTGAATCATGGTCTAGTAGCAAAACAGAATAATAGTACAAAAATGATTATTTTGCAATGGATATTGATATATTTCATGTTGAGAAAGTAATATTCCTTCAATAATTAGTAAAATGAAAAATCTAGGAAGAATAGCTAGATTTATTTGTATATTAGCATTAATGGTTGCTTCACTTATTGTTCATATAAGATGGTGATTATGATTTATATTTATCATAATATGAAATTGCTCTTTTTTTAAGTTATTTTTTTACCTAATGAGTCTAGAAAATTCATATGCATCCTTAATTGTATTCAATCTAATATATATAACTTGTAATGAATTAATCAATTTATCAATTCAGTACATGATAAAAATGATAAACTAAAATAAAGTGGCTTTATTATTCAACCATAAGTCTATTCAGAAGATAAAAATAATTCAATGAGGATGATGAGTCAGATTTATCAATATTTCAATGCAATTATTTTAGTTTCAATAAGAGAATTTTGTAAGTCTTCTAGTTCTTGTCGTTTTTATTATCATAAATCGAAAGAATTTATTGAAATTTACATTAATTTGTTTGTTTTGCATATTGCTTAGATCTCAACCAATGTCCGTTATTAAATTCTTATTTCTGAATTCAACTAGAATTAAATAATTATTCCCTTTAATTATTTAATATTGAATTTCATTAAGCATTTTAGGTCATTTATAGTTCTACTTTAATTTATAATAATCAATTGATTCTATCCGAATTAAATAATTTTATTTAAGTTCTATATAATAATAGGATGGTTTCAAGAAATATAAATCTTAGTCTATAAAATTTTCTTGATAATATCTATAAGAATAATTAATATAAATATAAAATGTAAGTAAAGAAAAAAAATATCATAATTCAAGAGATTTGCCCTGAATCATACTTTAATAATTAAAAGCTAATCATTCCTATTTAAGAACTTAAACCTCAAAAAACATGTATTGAAATAATTAAAAAAAGATTAATAAAATCCATATTAGAAGTAAGAGTAGCTAATCCAATAACAGAATATAGGTTTAAAGACATTTGAGTAACCTAAAAATACTCAATAAAATTTATAATATCCAATATAACAATAGACTCAAATCTAGAGGAAAGATGTTCCAAATCAAGTAGAACAAATTTTCTTGCCCATTAATCCTAATGCTTAATAAAAGGAAGTCGATTCTAAACGAGAATTAAATCAATTAATAACATCGGAACAAGAAAAATATAAAAATGATGTAAAAATCTATTACAATGATTTAAACTATAAACAAAACTTACCTTTTTAAAGCAATAATGATCAAAACCAATAATATAAATAACAAATTCAAAAAACAATTGAACAATAAGCATAGATTAAGGCAGAATAATCGAAGGCTAAATAATATGAAAAATAATAAACATAAACTAATTTTGTTGAATAGAATTAATAGTACTTAAATCATGGAAATCCTAATATACATTCTCCTAATAAAAAGCTTATAAAAATTGAATAACCAAATTAAGAATAACAATAACAAAGGAATAAAAATGAGGAGAGGAACTAGTTTCTAAAATACTTTATGACACAAACTACTTTAAATAAATACGTAGGACTTCGAATTGTAAAACAAAGTTCAGAAGAAAGAAAAAAAGATAATTAATCATTTAGAGAGTATGATTAAATTAATTATTACCAAAAACAAACATACGACTAAATGTAATTTAATAGATATTAAGGTTAAAAATATTAACCTCATCAACAAGGCATATAACCATATAAACCAAAAATAGTGGAAATATAATAAAATGTAGAACTTAATCACACTAATTTAAGAAAATAAGAATTTGAAAGAGGTTTAATTTTACAGCAATAGTAATTTTTTTAATAATAATTAAAAAAAAATTCTCCATAATAATAAAATAAATAAAGAATTTAAATTAATGAAGTTAAAACTTAAGAACCAAAAAATAATCAAGGTATTTTTAATAATAATTTTCAAAGACATCTAACCAGGCTAGAAATAAGCATATTATAATTCAAAAAGCAATAATAATATTAAAAACACTCAACAAAAAGTTCAATATAATTAAGCAAAGAGGCAAGATTTTACAAATGTTAAGTAATTATTTATTATAATCAAAAGTCAAACATAAGTTCAAATTTAATAATTCAACTAGATTGGAAGGCTTAGGGCACTGAGTGACTTAGAACAAAGAAGAAGATTTGAATACAAACCTGGTATGGTGATTACTGATGAAATTGTGAATTTGATGACTCCAGAAGAAATTTATGAATATTTTACTTATTTGGATTTAGAAAACTAAATAGGATTAAGAAGCAAGATCATAGTTTTAGAAAATAAAAGAGTCTAAATAAATACTCCTGATAGTTGTGCTATATGTTTAGAAGAGATCTAACCTTAGAAGGAGGCTGTTGACATCAAATTGGATTGCAATCATTAATTTCACTACGTTTGCATTAAACAATGGTTATAGAAATCTAAATTCTGCCCGGTTTGCAAAGAATAAGTAAATTGTGGAGCAGACTAAAAGATTAAATGATAATAAAACATATAAAATGATATTTATTATTTGCATGACGTACATTTATTTTAGAAATAAGTATTCTTTTGAAAAAAAATAATAAATATAATATAAATTTGAAATTGGATATGTAATAGATTTCTCCAGAAGTTGAGCAATACCTACAAGAAGCAGTCAAACCACTCCTTGAGAGAATCGAGGAATTAAAATAAAAGGATTAGTAGAATGAAGATCAGATCAAATTTCTGACAGGAGAAATCAGCCAACTCAAAGCCTTGGTTTCAACTCTCAAGCCAGCCGAGGAGAAAAGTATTGTGATTTAAATTATCATTAGAATAAGTTAAGTAATAATAGAAGTAAGAAATCAATGGTAATAATAATGGTAAAAATGATTATATCTGGAAAATTAGATCATAAAAAGCCTGATCGCCCTTAAACTGCAGTTTAACCAAAAAATGATTAAAACAAATAAAAGGAACCAAAGTCGTAAACTGGAAACAAGAATTTAAGCCAAAGTGCATTAGTGGATAATACAACTAAGAATGAAGCGGAAAACAGTAAATTGATTATTCAAAATTAGCTGCTCCAAAATCCCAAAGATAATCTGAAGAAAAACAACCTAAAATTGCAAAATAACAATAGTAGTAGCCACCTTAACCTAAACCAAAACCAGCTAAGCAGCCAGAATAAAAGGACTAACAAGAAACAAAAACTTCAAATTAAGGTATGATTTTTAACATTAAATTTAGATTAACCATAAAAATAAGCAAATCCTTAGAAAGATGAAAAGTAAGCAGATAAAATTAAACAAAATAAATAACCTCAACCTTCTTAACCTCCATAAACAGACAAACAAAAAGAGCAACCTAAAAAGAATGAAAAACCTTAAGATTAGAAATAAAACGGAGTTCAAAAAAATACTAATTCCAAATAACCTGAAAAAAAAGTGGACAATAAACAAGATGATAAAAAAATAGTTAAAAAAGGTTCCAAGCCTGTTAATTAATCTGGTAATCACCATTAAACTGATGAACAATAATAATAATAGAAAGCGTAAGTATCTTAAGACTAACCTTCTGCAGACAAATAAACCATAGAAAACCATTCTGAATAGAATGAATAGTAATCAGAAAATCACTAAGAAATAGTTAATAATCAATTAGAACCTGCTTAGCATTTAGTAGGAGAAGCTGCTTAGAATTAAGCAGAAGAAGCTATTTAGCATTAAGCAGAAGAGGCTGTTTAGAATTCATTCGAATAAAATCAATTTTAGAATGATGGCAATTAAGAAAAATAAGAGGATGAAAATTTATTAACTGATAATCACTAAGATGATAATAATTAAAAAAGTGAACAAGTATAGTAGAGTCAATAAGAGGATATGTTTTGAGTTTATTAAATATCATCATAGAGAATAACATATAATTATAAATATTATTTATATATTCAAAGTCTATGTATAAACATATTGAGATACACAGAACTCTTTATAAATTAAGAGTTTGATGCCAAAGTTAGAATTGAGGAAATTTGATAAATAAAGTACTTGAAGTTATGTTAAAACATCATTAGTTCGTATGATGATTAATTTATATTAATGGCAATTACCATAAGTTTGGTATTCATTAAAAATTGATTAGAAATATATACTGAGATTTTTGATTAATGTTCATTATTTTTAATTACATTATATGTTTAGAGGCAATTATAATAGATAATCCCTTAAACCATAAGTGGTCACTTTTTAATATGTATTAGATTAAGTGAATGCACTTGATCATAGAGCCCTCAGTGTAATAATTTTATTATAATATAGCTTTTGCACAAAATGGTGAATCCATCTTAGATGAATATTTTTGCAACTGCTTCTCTTGTCTCTTTATTTGCAGGACTAATTCGAGAGATCCCCTGTGAACTATTAGATGAAAAGGTAAATCAATATATTTAGATAGAATCTCAATTGGAGTTTGTTACATATGTTTTTAAATGATGTTGAGAAATTTTTGGAAAACTTAAGAAAATTCAAGGAGTTCGTTAATAAAAATCAAATAACATCTAAAAACATGCAAATTGCTAATTATTGGATACAAAAATATAATGAAGTATAACAAGAGTAAAATCATGTCATAAATTTAGTAATTAATATTCAGTTTCTTATGCATTTGTTTAAATTACTTAAATGATCATTAAACTTGACAAACAGCTCAATCAAAGACAGCCTTCAAGTCCTGCAAGGTCATTGTCTGCATCACCAAGCCCAAAAATGAATGGCAATGATGATATCGATGAAATTGATGAACTTAAAACATAACCGGAAAGAATGAGTGTACGAGAACCTCCAAAAACAAATGGACTAAAGCTTTAATTAGTCCCTAATAAACCTATTTAATAAACAACAGCACATAAACACACATAAAGCCAGCAAATCAAATAAGTAGCCCCAATTCATGCTCCAGTAGTGCAAAAAAAGAAATGATGATAAGTAAAATGATTATAAATCGAAAAATAAACCTATCCCCTCTTCTTATTATATGTATTTTTAATAATTTTTGTTGACTATGTGAATCTTTTCATTCTTTATCTTAAGTTCAATTAATTTAAGAGGGATGAGGTCAAACCATATTGAATTAATTTGAGAATCCTAATTCCTTTTAGATTTATTTAAAAAGTTGTAATTTTGATTAATACGGTTTCGAAATACATGTAAGCATATTATTTAACTAGATAAAATGGAAATAGTAAAAATTCGTAAAATATATTATATTATTTAAAATTAATTATAATGCTGCCACATAATCAAATAGAGTAAGGAAATGATTTCAGAACAAGACGTATGATCCACAATACATTCATATAGGAATCAAGTTTCTTATTTTCCTGAGCATCTCAGCTATGATCATGTGCTCCGTAACTTATACTGAAGATTCAGAGGTTCATATTAATAGTTTGAATTAATGTCTAAATGTTTCTGGAGACCAAGGCCTGCTTAATTATATCTGTATGCATAATTCTGATAATAGAAAATTCCACCAATAAACCTTCAGCTGAATGCTATTTATACCAATTCTTTTCATTTTTCACTGAAAAGCATTATAAAGGACTGCTGAACAGAACTTATACACACTTCCACGTGTATTAGTACAGCCAATAAAAACCAGATTTTAACATAAGCGTACTGTTTTCTACAAGTCCATACCTTGATGATCCTCAGCAGTAGTTTTAGTTTTATCTGAATGTGCCTGAATATGTTAAAACTTTCAATACTCCTTTAACTTTGAAGGTGCTAAACAATGATACTACAGGTATTATTAAAAAAAATGAGTGATAGGTTGTTAAAATGAATTAACTATGGAATTAAAGAACATAACCAATAATATGAATATAAGTTTTGCTGAATAATTGATTATGGATGTGAGAGTAGAAATGCAATGTCAGAATTTTCATTAAATGTTTTTAGGAACAGTTAAAGATGATACAGAGGAAGTTGAGAGTTAAGTGATAACCTATTCATTTTTGAATAGTGTTGTTTGTTTATGTTGTATGATTTATGGGTTGAGAATACTTAGAGCACTGATTGAAGGATCGGATAATCCTGAAGAATATAGCATGTTTTCAATAGGCTTTGTTATGGTTCAGGATTTATATTTGTGCTTTTTGAATTTCTTTTAAGCAATGCAATCAGAATCATTGTTTTAATATTTTATAACTCCATCATTTCTTCAATTTTTATTGTTTTCAATATTTGAAATGAGAATATTGATGATATTGTGGAAAAACACAGTTGGAAATGATTAAAGCTTTAGAACTCATGTCATCAAATTTTACTTAATTTTGTACTTGAGTATGTTCAGCACCATGTATTTAATCTATGAGTATATTGTATCATCCTGGCTGTTATTTTTTTTAAGCTTATACATAGTACCATAGATTACTCATGCTGCTTAAAGAGGATAATTTGTAAGATTCAATTTTAAATTGATTTGTGGATTCTTATTGCCGCGATTACTATATTATGCTTACTTTAGATTATATTGGAACAATTTATTCTCTCTCAAACCAATGCCAATATCCATCATTTGCATTCTAGTGAGCGTTGGAATATAGATTGGAGTGCATATATTACAAAATGAATGGGGTCCACAATTTTTCTTGCCCAAGATTTGTTTTCCATAAAAATACAATTACTATTACAAGATACCAACTTCCTTTGACTTAGAGGAAGGACCATCTTCGGAATATGCAGTAAAATGATTTTATAATATTAGCATTTATTTAATGAAGAGTGTTCGATTTGTATGGGTGTGCTTCATTAGGTGCCTACAATAAGATTAACTAACGAGGAGGAACGAAATTACATGATCAAAGAAGCCATTAAGAAATAGAAAAATCATTATATGAAAACTCCATGCGTATAAAGAAATTTAATTATTAAAGGATCATAAATTTCATGTACTTTGTCTAGTCAAATGGATGTCAATCAAACTATCATGTCCTAGTTGTAGATAATCATTGTCACCTTTATGAAATTATAATTATATATTTATAAATCAATCTATAGAATTATGCAACAATTGATTGACTCTGATTCTTTGGCCTAAATAGTTTTGTTATTAATTTAGATAAAACATATTATCTCTAGGGGCTATATATTTATTGAAATTACTTTTATTTTTAAGCTAAGGTATCAGAGAGAAGGGAATATCATCCATCTTATGAACAGAAGAACTCCTTTGTATTTTTTTAAATTATCTGAAAATTGGTTTCTGGTTGTGAAAACTCTATGCGATTATTTTCTAGAGATTTAATTCTGAATTAGAAGCAAGACTTTGCTAATTAAGTGATTGTTATAGTTATAAAGTTTATCCAAATTAAGATTGCTACGAAGCCGCAATTTGAGAAGTATTGGGTCTGATTTACTGCGATTTGGTTTATTCTGATTTTCGATCAATTTACCTTGTTTTGATCAAACGAAAACAATTTTGTTACTTTAGAGAATGTTATTAAACCAGCAGTTTTTGTTTAGTTTTCTAAAGTAAAACGAACGGATCAAAAGTTGAATCTATCTGATTTATAGAAGAATTCGAATAATTTAATTGATATTGATCTTGTCGTTTCTTAACTTTAATATGCTTTTATTTGAAGTATTATTAAATGAATGTAGGCATCTTTTGATAAGACAAATTACCGAATAAAGCTCCAAATTGATCTTCATTTGTTTGACTTTGTTAATCTTGACAAGTAGAAGTTTATTTAGATAGAACTTTAAAGGATATAGTTTTTTTAATATCTTAATTGAGCATTTAATCTTTATTGGTGTTTTACCAATTCTTCTCTAATTCTTAGCATTTTTATTTATAAATCTCCTCTCTCAAAATACTTTTCTCTTTAAACATCTTAGAAACATATTGAAAAACGTAAGGAGATATGTTTTTAAGTTGTTGCATAGATATCATTAAAAGAGATGCAGATTTAGACATAACTTTAACATTGTAAAGAGCTTTTTCTTATTGAGTAAATTCCTCTCCCAAAATACCTTGATCACTTAATTAACATATCACAATTTCATTAAACCAAAATTTTCTAGGCAATACTTACTTTTCATAATGAGAGAGAGTTTTCTAATAGTTCTTACTTAAACTCAAAACCCCATATTGTAATATAAATAATGCATTTCCAGGTTCATCCATTTTTTAGATTAAGTCTGTATGTGCAAATTTGACTTCTTGGAATAGTCTGATCAATTATTCCTATGTTTTAGGAGCAATTTTTTCTAGAATAGGTAGGTTGGCTAATATTGATTTTTTTCTTTGTTAATACAAAACTCCATGAATTGAGCTAAACTTTTTGTATAAATAAATTGGTAAGGCAAAACAATGAGTATCTTGCTAAATTGTATAGGAAATAAAGAATACTTTAACTTCGAAACCTAAATCTCCATCATACCACATTTCAGGTAGAATTTATATATTGTCTTCTAATTAGAGCAATCCTTTAATTACATAGAATGCAAATTTATTATTTTGTTGGATTACCTGACCAGTTTCAAAATAGACGTATCCTATTGTTTTGCACAGCTAGATTATAAATGAGTTAATACATCTTTCAAGACTTCATAGGGAGCTTGAAATTAAGGTAATTGACTTAGATAATCTTATATAGCAGAGATGTCTTCTTGAGACTTGTTCAATTTAGTCAATTTTGGAATTAAATGCATAATAATATATATTTCATGGCAATCTAATAATTTTATCTGAATTAAGGATAAATGGTTTGACAGATTCAGCCTTAATGTGATTTCCATTGTGTAAAATAATCTACAATTTGATAATCATTTCATCTCCATCAAGAGCAAGTTCAGAGAAATAAGCATAATTAGATCTTACATTTCCAATCCATTGCTTGTCACTATATTGTAATAAAATTGATTTACTTGAAGACTCTTATAGTTTTAAGGAGTGGTCCTAATTCTCCTAGGTCAAATTAAATATATAAATCGTAGAGATTTGTAACACTCTCCTTCAACTAGATATTCTTGATGTATTTGGTAGGGTCTTTGAAATCTACTTTGGCAGTCTTCATTTACTCAATGTAGCTATCATCATAAATGGCTATGCCTCCAATAAGCCCATCGACTGCTTACTATTAAGCAGAAGTATTCTCAATTTTAAGATAAACAGATTTCAAACTTTAACCTTGATTTTCAATTGTGTATTACGCTATATCCCAACCTTAGTTTGTAAGAATCTTAGTTGGTTTAAATTATGATAAGATCTTGTTGCCAAATTTAACAACCAAATACATAGATAAAATCTTTTTATCGAAATTCTTTATGTTTATGCTAGCAATTATATTGCCTTAAGGATCAATTCTGGTCTTAAATAATTTTATTAGAAAACTCTTTTGAATTTGCAAATCCCCTTTGATCTTGATACAACTACTTCCATTCCATGCATCACTAAAGCATATGCTGCTCTCCCAATTATCTTGAATGTCTTAACTCACAATCTTTTTTGTTGGATAAGATAAGGAATAATCAAAATCGTTCAAATTATCATAGTACCCTTTATAATGAGTAAACTTTTGACCATCGATATAATATGCTTCTCCAACTGCATTATTAAAGTATGTCTGTAGAGGGAATTCTTCATAAGTTTTTGGCTTTATCATTCTCAATAGATCCTTATTACTGTCATAACTAATATAAACCATAGATTCACCGGTGAATTAAGTACCATAATTGCCACCCCATAATTCCACGTCTTTTCCTACCTCTATAAACTTGACATATTATGTATCTTCAGTTGTTTTGATACTTAAAGTATGTTCTCTCCATTTATCATCTGCTACATTGACATTCTCAGCATTAAATTGAATTTCTTTCTTGTTCACCTTTGTAGAGAATGAATCAATACTGGCTATACATTTATTTTATCTGTCATATAACTCGATACCAATGAGCTAACCAAATAACTTTATT